TTGACGGTTGGTACTGGGGGAAGCATTGGAAAGCACAATGTGTTGTACATCCTTTTTTTTTTCCCCCCCCCCCCCCCCCCCTCCTCTATCACTACTGTATGCACATCTTATTAAATCAAGTAACCCGGCTGCCTAATTTGAACTTTTCAGGCTGCCATTGGTTCCCGTTTTCTTTTCTTCTGACGCAAACCAAAGGTACGTAATGGTTTTCACTCATGTATTTCCAGAGTTTTGCTAACTTAACTTTAGTTCCCCCACCCCCGAATATTTGTAACAAGTAGAGACGAGTTACAGAACCTTGGCATCCATCCTCCCTGATCATGTGATAAAAACTCTGTTTTTCATAAGTGTTCCCTGATGGGCGGGTTTTAGTGGCTTGCCATTTCAAACGCAACGCACTGTAGCCAATATTGATTTTCCATAACGGGTTACTCTCTGATGAACAAAAAGATGCTTTTAGGGATCCTCTTGCTTGAGGGCAATTGGATGCTACACTAATGTGGATGACAGCAGTTGCAAAGTAATTCGTTTCCTATACACATATATTTATAGATTTCAGCCAGATGATGATGATCAAGACGCTTTCAGCGATATCTTCCATGGAGTATTTTAATGATTTACGTATCATATGGAAAGATACATTTATACATGATGGTCAAGGTACTGTACTCTCCTTTTAGCAATATTGCCCACGTAGGGAGAGGATCAACAAGTATGCCCCTCTTTATGCGATTAAACAATCTGCACTACTGAAAGATTAGAAATTGTATTTATTACKAGTTGTATATTGTACTAAATAATATCATGCAAATTCATTATACGCATAATTCAATAATCATTAAACTTTCAGTTAAAGAATCTCCATCTTGGTTKAACTTTTCTCCATGTTGTATTTTTGATTTAATTGAAAAAAAGTGTAACTTGAAAAAACTTTTTTAATAAATTAAAATGCAATATCTGACACTTGAAAGGTATATTGGATGAGTAAGCTGAGGGTGTCGAGCAGTAGAAYTCTATGGCATTTTAGATCACTCTCAGTATTACCTTAATTATCATTCATAGACAAGGTTATAGACAAAGAGATTATATCAAATGGCGCCAAAACCGTTCATAACCCCACCTTTGCTGATTGATAATTTGCTTACAATTATAAAATTATATGGCTGATGGTATCTACAACTGGTATTTGGTATTATCTACTATTTCAAAAATGTCCAGACAATTTTCACTAAGAATAGAAAGGAAAAGGAGACAGGATTAGATTCTAATCACAGAAAGATAGTATTTTGAACCAGTTGATCTAAAAGAATTAAGGGGATAGGTATCAGCGCAGTGAATGGAACGTAGGATAAAGGAATAGATCATTGATTGGAACAATGTACACCTCAGGGGACATTGATCCTGTTATCAAGAACACAATTATCGATTTTCAAAATATATTCTCGACCCCTATATTTCAATCATCGCCACAATAGTTTTCATTCAAAGTCCCAGACGAAATATTTGGCTAGTATCTTGGATTTGTTATTTAGTCAATGAAGATCCACTAGTTCATTAATAAAAATATTAGTGCCACTAAAGCGGCGTCATTGATGCTAATTATCATAATCTATGCGTTTTTCAATTGTTATTATTATTATTACATCATACCATACTTAAATACCCTTTAAAACCTTTACATTAACATATTCTATTATCATTTATATAAATAATATTTCTAAGCAGTAGTTACAATTGCTAACTCTTTGACTCTTCAGGTATCGAGTTACCATTCATTGGAAGGCGTGGCCCTTTTTTACCCTGAAAGGCCTCCTTTCTCTTGATACCTTTATCAGAAATGTTCCCATATAGCATCTTGCTGCGACCTGCCGCTTTGCTCCGTTGGGGAAAAGGCCGGAAATTGGTAGGGTAAACACATCTTTGATCTTCCTGTACCATCCATGACTTTAATATATTATTATCAGTAGACGTGAAAGAATCAATCGAGCTTTTTGCAGTCGAGACAGCAGACATGGTGGCTCGATTTTTCAAGACAAAGGTCCTATCAGTAGAATCCATCACCGATGGACTGTTTTTATCGAGAATCTCGACATTTGACGAAGGACTCTTCAATGAAGGTTTGTTCGAGTTATCAACCATGATTGTATTAGCTGGTTTTCCTCTTGATGAGTAAAGCGGAACTGTCCTGTGTCCATTAGAAATTGCATTATTTTTAGGTGATTCAAACTTACATATCTCTCCGTTTAGTCCCATGTGTTCAAGTTTAGGTTTACTCGTAGTAGATTCTGAAGTTTTTAAGTTCGTTTTTGAGCTATCATGCCCATTGTAGCCTTGCTTTTGATTTCCTTTAAATAATGTCTTCAAATGAGCCGTACTTTCTTTTTCATATGCATTCTGCTTGGTTGTTACCGCATCGTCATCGTTACCAGTGTCATTGCTAGTATTTATTGCACCTTTCCCTCTCGCCTGTTTCTTTTTCGTTGCAGATACAAATAAATGGTTAATGGCGGTAGGAGTCTTAATCTTGTTATCAGCTTCCTGGATATTTTGGACAGCAGCTTCGCTAAATACTACTACGGCTTGCTGTTGCATCAACCGCATTCTACTATACTGTTTTTCAAGATGACTCATYTCTTCATTCACCTGATTGGAAGCATCAGGGTTATTGTTCAGTTGCCGTGTAGTATACGGTAGGGGGCTATAACCATCGGTCGCGAACACCCCTGGACTTGCCTCGGCGATATCACTACTCCTCCTACTCGGCTGATCGCCTTCAGTTAAACTTTTCATTGGCGGTGATGCAAATTCCGAAAACGGTAAAAGCACACCTAGACAGCCTACAGATTCTGTATCAAGTTCGTCCTCGTCCTCATCACTTGAGGCGTTACCCAAGTTGGAGCGGGAGCCTTTGTCCTGGGAATCACTGAAAGGGTGAATGTTATATGTGTACTGTTCACGTAGTTCATCCAAGCCAGGAAGAGGAAATGGTGCCAAGGAATAGACAGTCTAGAACGAGAAAACCACAAACCTCTTTTACTAAAAAAAAATAGTAAGCAGCTGCAATTACAGCGCAGCTGCAATTACAGCGCAGCTTTAAAGTTACCAAAATTTCTAAAAGGCTTTAGAGTTACCAAAGTTGTATATAAACGGTGGCTTGTGCCATACAATCCACATATTCTGTGTGAAGTGACCCTATGAGTAAGAAAGGTTGATTTTTGTCTCGGGTTTATGCGATTTATTTCGCATTTTACCGGTGTTTGCGTTGCTTAGTAGAGTGTGGCATTTAGATTTGAATGACAGCAAGCAAGCAAGCAAGCAAGCAAGCAAGCAAGCAAGCAAGCAAACAAACGAACAAGCAAACAAGCAAACAAACAAACAAACAAACAAAAAAACATTTTATTGTGGCAACCTTATAACTGAGTAACAGTTACGATCGCTTATTTTACTATCTACACCCGGTCTACATACCTGCAAAATTGATCGACAATCCACAAATTCTCCTAAAGCAATTTCTTGAATCAACACRCCCATTTTGCAGTAGAAATCATCCGACGTCTCGACATCTTCAAGTCGCCTGCAAAATCACAATATACCGAGCGTTTTGAGTTGAATGAACCGAACAACAGAAAAGGAGATATGCAAAAAAGTGCGTATTAATTTGCTTGTCTAGAGTATATTGAAAATACTACTAAATCTACTCAATCAAAAATTTAAAAAACGAGTGGAACATTTCATATCACGAAGAAACATTAACAATTTTCTTTGTAAATCTGACACACATGAATGAACCTGCGGCAACAGATCAATCAAGAATGCTTATGCATGCAGTCAATATAAGGTTTATTTGTTCTGTTAGATAAACTTACTCTCCTAGCTTTGCCCATATAGCAAGAGCCACTCTCAGGAGTACCTCGGAACCTTCTAATAAAATCGAGTCCCATACACGAAGCACTGTATCTTGCGGCAAACAAGTAGCAAACAGTGTCAAAAACCATTGCATCGTAAAGACATTGATAAGCGGTGGTTCATAGGCTGAAGTCCCTCCATGTTGGGCTGAAGCTTGTGCCTGCAGGGAGTCGAGGTGACGGGATAGCTTTGGTAACTTCAGCCGCATTAAGTCTCGAAGTACAGCCATATCAACTGACAGTGCCCGAAGATTGTTGGAGAAATAATTTGTAGGTAGGACGTGATCGATTATGTAAATCATAACCTAAAATGGAAAAATCAAAAATCAATAACTCTTAAACATCTCGAAAAAGATCGCTACGTATTTATAAAATCATTCAATTCAAACGGGCTAGAGATGAATGTTTTCAGTTTATTCAAGTCAACAAGGATTTTGGTTTTCCAAAACTGCACACAATTTTTTGGCTATGGCTCATAGACCAATACTATTTACTGTATACCACGCCTTAACCTATAATTTTTTTATTTTTATTTTTTTGCAAGCAAGGTCTTTTGGATAAATACCTTTAATGCATCCTCTTCGTTTCTTTCCATCACTTGTAATATAAGAGCAGCGATTACATTAAACCCTTGACAGTATCCCACAGATTTATTCCATCTTGCATAAGCTAGTAAAACACGTTTGAGAGCTGCTCGTTCCTCGGGTGTATCGCCACAAAACCACGCACATCCAGTTCTATGAAGATCCTATAAAAAGAGAAAAGCAGATTTTATCAAGTMTTTTGAAACGAGCGCGATCCCACCCTATCCTCAACAACCAACCCCTTAAGCAATAAATTTTATTGGGCTGTGTAAGTTTAATTGTGTAATGACCTGCTAGTATGGTAATTCTCATTAGCATCCATAGYTAACCGCACCCGTGGCCGCCATGTTTTTGTCTTTTGACTCTTCAAAATTCTTACAACACATCAATAATGGCAAGGTGATATAAGGCGTGTAAGTGCATGGTTTTTGTTGTATTATGATTGTGTATATATCCGCACTATAATCTCAATACGGTCACAAGGGGGGTGAGGTGGTGTGTAATGATTTGATATAGCCCTATAATGTTAAGATCAAATAAGGCGTTGTGTGCTTATGGTTTAGTGTGGTCCTATAATGATTATAAATAGCTATTCAGAAGCATGAGTCGTGTGGCGACAAAATAGAGGGCCTTTACAAGCGTTAGTCTCGACCATCTTCAGCTGCGCCTTTCGAAATTCACCTACGACTGGAGAAATGATTAGATTTGTCCCAAGATATAGACCACTCAAGGTGGTTATTGAAAACAAATGTTTCTGTATCTAAACTACTTGTCTAAAACCTATCACTTTGTTCTACTGTAGATGCGCATGTTTGTTAAGACATCTGCTAGACAAGTGGCCTCTTTATACAGGCATAAATCATGACTTCTAATCCTCAGAACTTAGAACAAAATACTCGATTAAGAAAGAGGATACTTCGAAATATTATACCTACTACTCCAAAGAAAAATAATTGAAATGAAAGTGTTTAAGGCACAATAACGGAAATACAGTAGCTCTGTGTGTATAATGGTGACTTTGCCCACCGTATTACCGGCAAAGCGACTAGCAACTAAGAAGCGCGACTTCACCCCTGAATTTGAATGAACAGCAGATGCGCAAATCGACGCCCGCAGCTTGTCAAGCCTGGAGACAGAAGCGCTGCAATTCTTCGATAATCTTCTCGGAGTTATCAAAAAAACGATAGTTAAAATCAAGAATAATAATCAGTCGAAAAATAAAGAAAGAGACAAAACTAAAAATAGTAATGTGCATGAAATTTGTATTTGAAAAACAACTCTATTGTTTTGCAGACTGATAATGATAACCGCACTTGGCGCCGACTATCTTATTTACGAGAAGAAGCTCGTGGAAACTCAAAAAAACAAAAACTTGATCCGGTCTCTTTTCACAAGATGGAAATATGATYCTTTTCCTATGCACCTTAATCATCTCATGAGATACGACTTCCTTGAGAATATGTGCTAGGTATTTTTAAACGAATTTCAACATAGGAAATGGATTTTTTACTGACAACCGAAAACCAATTTTTTTGGAAACAGATAAAAATAAAAAAGATAAAATTTTGATTGTAACCCACGCCTTTCAATGATTCAACTAGGTGTCAGATGTCTCCATTACTCCACGTGGCCTAGTATAACCGCATACCACAGAACGACTWCACTCCCTCTCTGGGCAACGTTCTCCAGCTTTTAAGCTTAATTTATTTAATTTGAAACAATTTCGAGTCATTAGTCTGTTTGASTTATGGTAGCACAGCAGAGGTTTTTAATAGCATTATTGTATGTAAAGGGTTACGTAGATCATGGTCGCCTAATTTCACGCAATAATGGGCGTTGTAAGAAAACGAACTATAAATACATCATTCGGGAACACTTTAACATGCATTAAAGATTTTCTAAACTATGTTTTAACAAATTGTAATAATYAAAAATATTGAGTGGCATTTTCACTAATTCGCTGTTTCTTGCGTTTTTAAGAACGATATCCAAATCATTCCTGTTTGTTGTGCTCCGGAGTCGCTAGAACAGTTATATTAAAACAATYAGTTTTTACTTTTAGTCATCAATTAAATCAAATATTTATTCACGTTTGCCGCCAAAAACTAAAAAAGGGCTAGTGGCTGTGTTTTACTAGCAATAAATTTCGCTCTTTTAGCTTAGACTATTTAAAATGTCGAGTGATTTATCATTAAGCTTCCTGWATTCATTATAAAATACAACTCAAAAATAGACCTATTTCCTTATCAACATCCCTTTCTTGGTGAAAGGAAAAATTTTACTTAGTTCTTTTTAGRATTACGAAGATTTTCATTAGGGAATCGTAGAGAGAAAATGAAAAGAAAACCAGAAAATAAGATGTCGACAGAAATTTATTAATGTCAAGAGTTGCCTGCTAATTTTTATTCCTCTTTCTTTGTTTTTTCTAATGATTTGTTTACTTTGTGAAAATTGGAACAGGTTTTGTGAACAGGTGTTTAATTCTTAGGATATATTCTCTTCGAACACTCTTTACTCACATATTTGTGAATATGTAATGACCATATGGTCTTTATACATRAAAAAGATAGAAAAATAAAATGCATTAAGGAAAAATCAAAATTATAAACTTAAGGTTTCGAAAATAACAACATATTCTTTGTCAAAAATATACAAATTTGCGTTGGAAAAGCTCTCTCATGGATTACTTCAAAGACTTTTATGGGATTTCTTAATGAAAAACGTTTGAATCAAAATTGTTGACACTAGCACTTTAATTAGTTAAAGGGAAAAAGAGTTTGTGGTCATCTTCGAGAGAATTGCTAAGCAAACAAACTAACAGCAAGCAAGGAAAAACAGCAGAAAATTCTCAAGTGTGATCACTAAGGTGTCTCTCCAAAATCTTCTATTTCACTGGAAAAGCTGTTAATATTTTTTAATGCTGTTAAATCTTGTAGAACAGTGTTTCTTTCTTTCTTTCTTTCTTTTTTTTCCCTGAGAGAGGGGGAAGTGAGTCATTGCCTGCTGATCACTCGAATCGGTTCAAAATATTGACTGAGATTCTTGTTGTTCTTCTTCACATAATTCGAAAGTTAACCACATTCTATACCCTGATAATTAGTTATTATAGGCTGCTTTGGGCTGCCTTGAGAATGCTATTGCAGAGAGGACAAGATTGTCTGGAAGAATCAAAATGGGAGCTGCATTTTTTCCCTGAAAATGTGATTCTAAAACTTGTTATCACTTGTCACCACTGCAAGTACAGTAGTGGCACAGCTCAATGGGGTCAAACTGAATGCATGCGATTCTATGCACTGGAACTTGGATATTGCTTTTTASACCAGGATCTGATATTGGGATACCCCCCACCCCTTCCCTTTCTCTTGAAACTTTGATGGAAACTTGAAACTAACAGAAGATATTATCAAAAATCCTACCTTAACAATTTGAGATCCMAGCTCATCATCATCAGGGTTGCTTTTTTCATTGAAGCAAAACTTAGCTGTCTTCTCCCAGTTTAAATCACTTATCTTGCTTTCAGCAAGACAAAGCCATAACTATAACAAAAGTAAAAGTATATTAATTAGTACATAAAAATAATTTTAATGCAAAATGAAGGAATGWTACACCTGTTAAAATATCTACTTTAAAAACTCTTACCCTTTTTCGCCATGCAAGGGGGAGACCATGAGGAAGTCGTGCAATTGACTTGAATGCATCTAGCCACTAATAATAAAAAGATAAATCACAATTGTCAAGACTAGAGGTTACTGCGGTTTCCGATATTCTGCGAACTCAGACGTTTCAATGACTTGTTGTGAAATTGGTTTTTTACTGCCACAAGTCAAGAGCATAAAAGGTACTGACTGATTATTTTTGACTGATGACAGTGAAAAACCAAATTTCAGTGTGCAGCTTGTAACTACTGAGTTTGCAGAATATCAAAAACTGCACATACATACGAKCAATATTGAGCTAAGTTATAAAGCATTTTACAAAACTACCTAGCTTTCCTACTTTCACAAACATCTACTTTAAAATTCAATGTAAGGCAATAAATTAGCCTCCCCCCACCCAAATGATATTTTTACCCTTACTAATTTGTAACCAAATACCTAATRCTTTTGCACAAAATATAATGCCCAAGTTCTCTGTCTGAACTTTAACTAATTATTAAACTAGATACATTTTGAAAATCCCTGCAGGCAAAAATAGATACAAATTGCTACATTGCAAAACATATTTATTTATKAATAACCATTACGTAAAGTTACCTTGAAAAAAAATGCTGCCAGAGATTTAAGTAAGAATTTAATTAAATTATTATTTTTACCTGTCTGAAAGCCTTTTTCCCACTTTGAGGAATATATGAAAACCTTATTCTTGTATCTACCCCTGGAGAAATAAAAAGCTTAGATTAATAATAATTATATAAAATATATTAACAAATTTCCAATYGTTAAGCATAATAATAATAATTTTATTCTTAAACATGCATTACAAGACATCTCAATGTTCTTACGATATATATTTGTGTAAAATATCAGATTATCACATGCTGAGAGCCTGACATCACTCCAAATCGCAAAACTACAGTGACAGAACAAGCAGGAATATGATAAAGGCATGGAAACAGTTCGAAAGAAGAATGTTTTCAAGCGTAAGCTCTAAAACAATTCATGGGATTTGAATTAACTCTTAACTACTTTTCAAAAAAAAGTCTGTAGTTTTAGCTTTCTAAGAATTCTGGTAAATAATAATAATAATGATAATAACTTTATTAATGTGTAAAGGATGAAGAGCAAGGATTTAACATAACTTAGCATTAGACGCTTATATTACATGTACGAAGGACAGGATTGGACGTTTACAAAATAACCAAAATAATGTCAATACAGGRACCAAAGTTTAATAATAAAAATAAATACTGCCGAACTCTCATAAAACAACAGTGGAGGTATCAGTACATGTTACTTATAGGATGATAAAAGTTTGTTGGAACAGCTTTGTTTACCATAACATAAATGTGTTTTATTCACTGCACATATATGAATATTATGATTTACTGTAAGTCAAGTTTTGGGATTTCAAAAAAAGAAATTATAATTATAATTATTGGCTTATATTACATATAGGAAAGAGAGAGTCGGGGTGTATCTTTTGCCATTGTTTCCAGCTGGCAGAGAATATAGGCTTGATATATAGTGGGATAGAAAAAAAATACAAGCCATGATCTGTCAGCATGAATATTGCACGATTCACAGACCAAAAAGAAATACTAAGTAGTAACGCATTTGTACCCAATGAAATCTGAACAAACTGAATAAATGTGGGCTTTCTATATGGAAAAGAATTTTCAACTGTATCAGATGAGACATCCWATATCATGAGACATTTCAAACATACAAAACTTGTCAGCTTTCCTCCTTAGTTTGGGATTTGTCTTCCTGGGCTGAACAGTTTAGTGAATCAAGGTTGGCATAATGATAAAGTATTGCACTCGCCTCTCCCCTCTGGAATCTCATGTTCTACTCCTGGACTGAACATCACATGTGAAAAGTTTTTTAGGTCTCTCCCTTGATTTGAGGCTTTTTCTCAAGTTTTTCCTCCCACACCCTAAATTTCAAATCTATCTGTAAGCTAACAGCACCCAATGGAAATTACTTAGATCAGCTTAGAGTTGTTTCAGGGCTCAATAAATCTCCTCAATTAGTAAAGCATTTGTCCCRAGCAAGAAGATTAGATACTTTAATAAAGATTATCATTATTATTAGTTGACCCTTATTTTCTTTAAAGCAGTTTTGATTCTTTTTTCTCYAGTGACCATAAAAGGAACTTTAACCTAGTCAGAAGTCCAATCTTTTACATTTAAATTGTACAAATAATTCCTCTTGAAATGTCAGATTTTAAGCTCAGCAATATAATCTTGGATTGGCATAATTATTAAGCTTTGATGCTTTTCAAGGGACCTATGTAAAGTTACATGTACCCAAATCAGAAAGATTGAGAAAGAATATAGCACTTCTTCAAATATTCTAATTAAATTATAATCCTTGATCAAAAGTGCAATTTCACTGAAATATTATTGATGTTCAAAGTGATTAACAAGCATGAGAGGACTTAGACCACTAAGTTCTTTTCCTGTATCTAGAATAATTACCTGATCATGAGTCAGTTTACTTATGCAGTGTAAATAAAAATCTTGACTTCGATATGATGTTTATTTCGGAAATATTAACACGAACATCCTTGCAATTTTGGGCTAATAGTTTTCGTTATTAGGACGTTATCGGACACCTTAGGGAACCAAAAGCGGATACAATAACTGTCTGATAAAATTGAAGATAAATAACTATAAATCACTCCAAATCTTTAAAACTTTATGGATGAGTAAACTTATTCTAATTATTGAGTGAATTGCGACTRAGAGAGAGAATGCTTGACTTACTTCTCTTTGGAGAGACAGCTTGAAGAACAGCAGTTAAGACGTCGAAGTTCTTCTGAAGTTTGTATGCGTTCTTGGCTCTTCTTTTTAGTTGTTTGACKAGTTTAGCAGAAAGCATAGAAATACGGATCTTGAACTCTTTTGCTAGGACACGAAGCTYGTCAATGTCTAAACGTAAACAATAAAGAATACAAATTGCCGTTTAATAAATACATAGAAGGCTAGCAAAGAAAATTATTAAGCCAAACAAAAAAAAAAATACACGCAAATACCTACAAAGGAATACATTAAATTGCCTAAGAAGCTTTTGCTTTCATTCGAGAGAAAAAGAAAGAATAGAACGAATCAAAGTCACCAACTACAGGTCGAAGTTTACAATCACAAAGCATGTGAAGCTTATTTCCTTTTCMTCACAAAGATTGATGCCTTTTCCCGAAACCTAGGTAAGCTCAATATTTCACTGGGATTTCTAATCAGACGATGATTTCTTTAAATATGATAGTCTAATAAAATCCCTAGCTAGGACACAAATAAATTGAACAAAACAATTATACCTTTGTTTTGGAGGGAATTGCGAGTCCATTTTTCTCCTTGATCTTCGAGATCAAAAGACCCTCCAAAAATACTTCCCGAGGTTGTCGAGCACTCAGTCACATTGTCACTATCTACAGAGTCCCTGGTATGGTAGTGATCATAAATTTCAAATAACAATCCGTCCACGATCGAGCATTTTTTGTCATTTGCATCAGAATCTCCGTTCTSATCAAAGACCTCATTCTCGGATCCCACACGACTTTCGTCGTCTTCCTCCAAACTCCCTTTACTCTCAAACGTCGTAAAACTCCAGTCTGATTCGATACTCTTTGGACTTGACGATGACTCTTCGGTGCAGTTACTTTCAGTTTCGTTGGTATCTAAACGAAGAGACGACGGTCCCAAATCGCCAAGACTTGACTGTAATAATGCATCCGCCATTTTGACCACATCATGACGACTAATTTGAAATTCACGAGTCGCGCGCAAATTAACATAATTCGAATTCGACCCCATGCCTACTCTTTTATTACTTTTTTCGTTACTTTAAGCCAAAAAAAATCTTCTTGATAAACAATGGTATAGCTAAATAATCCGATAAAAAACGAAATAATCTGTGCCTTCAGGASTTCAGAATAAATTATTGTTCTCTTTTCCAAATGTTTTCTTTGGACCATCTATATTCCCTTGAATTGTGCCAAAAATGCATGTTGATGATCCATGCTATTTACATGTAAAAAGACACATCGTGGATGCAAATCCCTAATGCATCTGAACCAAAGTCTTTGCCGCCTGTAAGTTGATAGAACTGTCTTTAAAATAAGCAATACCRAAAGTAAAATCGTGGGTAAGGAAGGACTTGATCATGAGCCGACGTCAGGATGCTACACTTTCAAGTATAGTAGGTCATGCCATATCACRCCATACAATGCAGGTTTTTAGACTTCTAACGTTTCCCAGGCGACCTAGCTAGTAAAATACAACCGAAATTAATTATTCAGGGTCAGAAAGACATAAAAATCTGGAAAAATCATTCTACTTTATTTATGTTTTTTATRCAAACATAAGGACACATAGATAAAATATTTTGTGCAACTCGCTGCATTAACGCCAAAAAGCCGGCAAGCCCCTATCGAGTTTATATGCCCATATGTGCTTGTGCTAGCGCTTAAAAGGAAATATCTCCCTTGTTAGACATGGATGATCTAGTGGAGCGAGCCGGTACCATAAGACTCTGGAAACAGATGTTTGATCGTACGTTGGTGACAGAAAGACAATTTAAGTACAAATAGGACAATGAAAACTCTCGATCGGGAGGCGGAKAGAGAGGAAAGAGATGAAAGGCGTTACCACTACTAGTACTGATACATACCGAATTGGAATCCCATTTGATCTACCTGTTTAGCTACTTTCCTAACACCTTTTAGTGGCCGGCTGGATTAAACCATGAGAAAACATAAAAATTGTTTTTATAAGTTAGACTATTATTTCTTGTTTATGTTCTACTGCAAGGGCCCAAGAAAGCCGCTGATGATTATTTTGACTAGCTGCTCTAGCTCCGTCTCACATGTAGGCCGACATACTGCGACTTGGGTAAATTTTTTACCCAAGTGATTGAAATAGAACTTCAAAAATAGTAACGTGTATGTCAGGTAGGGGCGGAGGGGCCGGTGGGGAGTGAAGTCGAAAATTCTTACCCGAGGGGAAAGGGGGTTAGTAGTCCAAAATTGATGCAGCATTCCATTTATTTGTCTTAAATATTGTTACATTGTGAGTCTTTGTCCRGCTAGAATTAATTAGAAGTAGGGAGAAACTTTTTTCACATCACTCACCATTAATATTTAGACGTACGGCTTGATGGATATATAAACTGAGCCAATATCAGAATCGAATTGAATGAACATAAAATATAATTTGAATACGGAGACCTTTTGGTCTTTCTATATGAACTGGTTGTCAGAATTGAAATTACTGTTCTACATCAGTCCAGTTTAAAAGGTTGTATCATCGRTATAAGTAGCCAACGGCGTCTACCAATGAATTCTCTCTAATGCATTTTTYATAATACTGATAAATTTAATGGTAACGGAACTGAGCGAATGGCTAGATATCAATAACATTATTAGTGGCTGTGGGCTATTTTCTGATACCTCCTCTTCACTGCACCTGAGCCAATACGACGTCATCGTCCGAGTTAAATTATGACGTATGACGTCATAGTGTAGAGTTTTACCGCCTACACTTGGCGATAAAAATTTATGGTTAAAAAATATAGAGCGTTTTCACTCACGTGAGAAGGCAGCCATAAACAATAGAAACTTTTTGCACAGYATTTRCATAAAAATARAGTTCAATTCCCGGAGGATAGAAAATGYATTGTTTTGGTACCCCATAATGGCCGCAGTGACGTCACGTGAAAACGCTCTATATATTATAAAGAGCAGACTTCATTTCATTTCATTTCCAGATTATCGTTTTCTCTGGACCAGTCAGTTGTTGGTTGGTCATTCAAGCGTCGATCGACAATTTATCGACCCTCAGCTTAAAATCATCTTGGCTACATGAGTGAAATCATTCCTTTTTTTGAAATAGACCTCCTCGGCTCGGGCGTCAATGTTTTTTCCCATTTCATACCACGTATCTTTCAAAAGGAGCCTGATTAAAACATTCGCGCCTGAGCGCGCCCGAGCAAGACGGGTCTATTGGTGATATTTCTTTTGTATTTTTAGCAACGTACAAAGCAGTTAATGTAATGTACTCGTAAATAGTCTGCGWAGCGGCCCCCTCTTGGGGAGGGGGTTGCGGAATACAATAGATTTTGAATACATTACATTACATCCAAGATAATTTGAGATAATTTAAGATAATTTAATCTTTCTCGTTGCTGAAGAATTTAAAAGGATAAAGGATAATTTCGATAGTTATAACAAATTTCCCCATATCTTTATAGACTGTTTCCTTTGCTCAGCCGCATCATTTCTCGAACTTTTATTTTCCTTTCAATCAAACGAGCTCATCAATCATAGAACGGATCTCATCATAAAAATAAGAAAGCTTTCAGAACACATTTTGTAAAACCATAACGTTAATTGTACTTCGCACATTAGTTCAAGCGCAACTACTAAGGCAAGGTAGTAAGGTAGTTTCCTGCATAGGGCGAGGAAATGATCGAATAAATGTTACTACTCTTCCCAGTAGACCGAGGAATGTTGTACCACGAGGACATGTGTTTTACACCACGCGATTAAAACTTGACTGAATTTTAATCACGTGGTGTAAAAAACTTGCGTCGTGGTACAGCATTGGCATCACGTGGTCGATTTGAAATGTACTTGCGGATAACATAACAGACGCTACGAAGGCGATTAAAAAATCACRACTACCTCGGTCTACTGGAAAGAATAGTATATAGCTAAGAAAAAAGTTAATTCTAGATGAGATACATCGAATTTTTAAACATTACTTAAAATTTTCATGTCCATTATTTGATTTGATCTCGATCGAACAAAAACTGTTGCTTGCTACCCTATTGACCCCTGGGCATTGGGTTAGAAAAAAAGAATCTGCAGCAGCATAAATTTGAACAAATAGTTTATTTACTTTCGTTTTTTTTTTTTTCCGTTATGAATGACAAATACACAGACTTGATCAGACTTGTATAATTTAGATTGGATGAAAAAACTCGATTTTAGAAATAATCTTATTTGAGTGTGAGGAAAGGTTTACGGCTGAAGGGAAGGGAATAAAAGGAAGGGGAAGGGAATATGGGAAAGGCAAGAAGCGAAAAGAGAAGGGAAGAGAAAGCGCAAAAGAAATAGAAGGAAAAGAATGAAAGGAAAGGTGCTTAGGTCACCAACCTTAAGGTTATGATGTAATGCATTATGGGATATACTTCCACCCTTACGCTGAATAGCGCTTCACAATCATGAAATAAACACTCATTATGACTATTCCCACTGAACATCTTCAAATTGACTAGGCAAATGGCCTTTCTAAAACAAGCTGTTTGTTGTAGCATTAGAGGATATTAGAGTCTATCTTGATCTTCTGCCGTAGTTTGTCAGGATGTCATCGTGTAGCTTGATAGCTGGACCCAAAACAAGGCGTTTGTTGTAATATTAGAGGATATTAGAGCCTATCTTGATCTTCTGCATAGTTTCTGGACGTCATCGTGTAGCTTGATAGTTGGACCCAAAACAAGGCGTTTGTTGTAATATTAGATGATATTAGAGCCTATCTTGATCTTCTGCGTAGTTTCTGGACGTCATCGTGTAGCTTGATAGCTGGACCCAGCGTCACACCAAGGACTTTATGTATGTCATCCAATGACAGAAGCATAAGAGCCTTACCATCGACTTCCTGTTGTTGAAAAGAATCGAAACGATTAAGGATAATGGCGCTTTTCATGTTTCAGACAAGATCCAGATAATTCGGGACACGGCAATTTGCCTTTCGCGCATAAATAGTACTATATCAGTAATGTTTGGAAAAGCTAAAGCCAAAGAAATAAAAATAAATAAATAAATGAAAATAAATAATTAAATTACATGAGACTTCGGCGTCTGACTTTGGAAATTGACTTTAACTATTATTAATTATTATTATTTATTTATTTATTATTCATTTATTGAGCGCATCTATTTGGAAATGATACTCTCCACATAACACCAAGTGTCATTCCCTCAACAATAAGTTTCCTTCTCGTCTATATTTGGTATTCCTCATAAAGCGTCATAACGCCGGCGAAGAAATAACGATCTAGGGAATATCCAGTGATATGACTATGGGGAAAAAGTAGATTCGTTCTAAATGGGTAAAAGTAAATTCACAGAAAAACTGTGTAGTTTGTTGCTGGAGTACTCAGGCATGTGCCTCGCCAAGCACCTATTTAAAGAATTGGTCTGATATGTACCCCCTGTCATCAAGACTTAGAACTCTTCAAGTTACATGACGCAAGACCAATACATACGTCCATTAATTATTTATTTTTAAACTCCTCGAAGAGCTAAATATATATTTGRAAACGTGACAAATAAATAAGCAAGTAAATTTAGCTTTAAATACTTTCCTGTACACAGAATATCAAAAAAGCGTGAGCGGCAATTCTTATCAGATGGTGGCATTTCAATTCTATAAAAGTTTGAAAGTGCGTCATATRAAATTTCACACTTCAACGTATGTATCTTTCTTAAGTTGAGCTCATCTGTGGTCTCAGTTTTTCAGTACTTAGCACAATATAATGATATATATATAGATAGATATGTCTTAAAATGGATTATATATAAATAGAAAATAAATGCATGTTAGATRAAAATCTAAGCATGAAACCGGAACTCTCTTAAAGTGCTTATAAGCCTTTGCGCAATATTTTCAGAATTGATTCTTTAGATGGTGGATAGTTGATTGTGAAAATATTTCGTCATTTGAATGTCGGGTCTTTAAGATACGAAGGTTTATATTCCCAATATGTTAATGACTATGACGTAACATAAGGATCATTTGATATACAACACTGCACTCGTTCTGGAATACAGTATTTTATAAGCATCACCCTTTTACTCGTGACTCACGTAAAGGTTCTTACAAAATTGTTTTCAAAAAATTTCCAGCGTTCAATATTAAAAATTGCCACRCAACAACGCAAATCCCTTATGTTACGTCATCGCGCAAATCCCTTATGTTACGTTATCGCGCCCAAATTTCAAAAGAAAAAAGTATATTTGTATTCCCTGCTAACAGAGTCTCCCTCGTTGGCGCTTCTTGGCAGACGGRAAATTTTCTCTGCTTTGAATTGCCAACAAGGGAGACTCTGCTAGCAGGGAAATATTCAGTTGTATTGCAATATATGTATCTAATGTTGATCCGAATTATAAAACAAACTTACAGCTTGCGTTTGTCTAGAATAGCGAACATGGTGCATTTTGGTCTTGGTAAAAACAACTTTTGTTCATTGTCTTATATGTGTTGTTTGTACCCAACCTATACCATAATGCACTACAATAAACATTGTTCTACCTGCTCAAGGAAGACATCAGCAAACTTCTTACAGTCCCTTGGGCTAATAAACTCGACTACATCAGCAGTAGACCACGTACGAATATGACCTTCGGGAATCTTGCCCATAACGTCGTCCTCATCRTCATGATCAAGACACGTACTGGTTGACTGATGGTCATTATGAGATAATGGCGGTGTCTTCTTTCTAAGTCGATGTTTTGGATTCTGTACTTTTGGTGTGACTTGCTTTGTAGTACTGTTTGGTGTTGTGACATCGATAGGTGGTGGTGTTTTCTTTATAGGTTGTTTTTGTTTTTGGTTTCGTTCTTTGGGTGCGACTTGTTTGGTGGTACTGTTTGGTGTTGTGACATCGATAG